GGTCCTCATTTTACCAACCTTGGAAAGATGAAAGGCTGAGTCAACCTTGAGCCTAGTGAGATTCAATCTGCCAAATTGCAGTCAGTCAGCAGAAGTAGTCTGCAGTGCTGCATTCTAACACTGCATCACCACGACTCATCCACTTCCCACTATCAGTTATTCTAATACTTTCAGTTTTATCCATAAGCTATTGTTTAAGTGAAGCTTTTTACTTTAACATGTTCTTTTGGTTATCATTACTGTTGCATACTTACTGCCTATCACTCTAAACCTTTACCTTTAGACTTTCTCTTGGGTTTCTTTGCTGCTTTGTCCTGATTAATTACCCTAATAAAGATGGAACTGAACTGGCCTTGTCTGATCTGTAGATTCAGATTCTGAGATCTACAGTCAGAACACATCAGTTGGGTGCCAAATTTGTAGATAACTGTTGTACGTGGAAAAAAACAGAACCAAGGATTAGGCTGTCAATTAATTTGAAAAATTCTGTTCTTTCCACTACAGCATGTCATTTTCTCTGTGTATTTCGTTTTTATTTTTAAAGCAGATGATGGGATGTACAAGGGCAAAGAGCAAAATTAAGGATTTCCGGTATAACTGACTTGCTTCGTCCATCTAGTCTAAGCCATTATTTCTTTTTTTGAAAGTACAGGTGGTCCTCGACTTAAAAACAGTTTGTTTAGTGACTGTTTAAAGTTACAGCAGCACTGAAAAAAGTGACTTATGACTGTTTTTCACACTTACCACCATTGCAGCATTCCTATGGTCATGTGATCAAAATTCAGATGCTTCGCAACTGTCACATATTTAAGACGAATTGTAGTGTTTCGGGGTTATGTGATCACCTTTTGCGACCTTCTAACAAGCAAAGTCAATGGGGAAGCCAGATTCAATTAACAACTGTGTTATTAACTGTTCTGATTCATTTAACAACTGTGGCAAGAAAGGTTGTAAAATGGGGCAAAATTCACTTAACAACTGTCTTGATTAATAACAGAAATTTTGGGCTCAATTGTGGCCATGATTCAAGGACTACCTGCACCTCTAAGTTCTACTAGCCAGATTCATACATTGAATGTAGTTGTATACTTTATGGTTTTAGTGTCACGTGTGAATCTATCTAGGGAATATCCTGCTTGCTTCTTATTTGAAGGAAAGGAAAACTAAATTACTGGGGTTTGGAAGAATTAGAAACTGCAGAAGGAAATCTTCAATCTACACGTCAAAATATGAGTTTTGCAGAAATTAGGGTCGCAGAGTTTTAATCACACTGTCATGGCTATCTTCTTGATTTTTTTTTAAAAAATCATGTCCTTTAGATCAGCAGCCCCCAACCTTTCTGGCACCAGGGATCAGCTTTGGAAGAAAAATTGCTTTCCACAGATCGGGGGGAGGGGCTGGTTTCCCACGCAATTTAGATCCTGCGCATGTATAGATGAAGCTTTGCTTGCTTGCCCACCACTTACCTGGCCAAGGACTGGTACCAATCTGTGGCCTGGGGCTCCTGCTTTAGATACTTATGATTGCTACAGGTGGTCCTTTCCTAACAATCATTCATTCAGTGACCATTCAAACTTATGAAAGTGTTGAACTATTACTTATGACCCGTCCTAGCAGCTATGATTTTGCAACATCCTGCAGCCACATGATTACCATTTTGCAATCCCTTGCAAATCAATGAGAAAGTCAGCAGGAGGCTACAAATGGCAGTCATGTTAAGTCCTCACTTAACAATACACCGTGTTTTGCTTAATGATGACAATCAGAAGTACTGGAATTGCTGCAGCACAATTACATGACATTATGCTTTATGTTTGTGTCACTTAGCAACAGAAATTCCAGTCCAGATTTACTGTTGCTAAGTGAGAACTACTTAATATATATTACAGTTCTCCATATAAACTTCTGTTTTTATTGGCACCCATTTCTGCAGACAAAAAGTCCCCTAAAGCTAAGCAATATCTGTGCTATTTCTGTGTAACCTTGGCCTGCTCATTAAACAATTTTTATTGCATTTGCCTTTTATTTGTCACATTATTGGCAGCTCATCTCAGTGTGGCAACATTAGTGGCAATAAAATTTTATAATCAGAAAAAAGTTTGAAATTGACTCTCCTTAGGCTTGTGACAAAATTAATTTTCTTGATTTGGAAGAGTTATTTGGAGCACTGAGTTGATGAAATTTACTTAACTGCGATTTTCTGGAGGCAAAATCCTATGAACATCTTGACAAGTGTGTTGCGTAACTCCAGAAACTAAAAAACTGTGGATAAATGTTGGTCTAAGATAATAAAATCCAGCCAATTATTTCTTGGCTGAAAAAGGAAGAAAAACCCACAATTACTTCTACATGGCAAACTCTTACTGTATCTCCCTCTCTTTCTGCTTAGTTTAAATTTTTCAGTCTTGTACACATTTATATTTTAAGCTGTGTGTTAAAAATGAAATGAAGTAATGACTCCAAAATTGTGGGGATAATTCTTTTTGAAAAATCAAATTCAAGATGATAAAGGAAAATTTGGGATTTCCGCCCTTCCTGCAACATTTGTTTATTGATTTCAGAACAGAACCATAAGGAAACTGTAAATTGGTTTTCACATATTGTCTAAGAGAGTGTTTTGATTAATGGAAGCCTGATAACAAGCTTTTATTTTATGCTTGTTTGGAGTTGCTAAAAATGGTGCTTTTGTGATTATGCTGCAGATCACTCTCTGGAGCTGAATATGTATGGAATTTTTAGACATTCTTGGATATCCTCACAATGTGACTATCAAGGTCTGCATAAGTGTGGACAACACATCAAAGACATTATTGAGGTTATGCTTAGGATATATCTTTGGGGTTTTTTTCCCTGCATAGGTGAATATATTTCATGTTCATGGTATTCATGGATATGCTGTGCTAATTTACTGCCTGCCTGTTCTACATAGTAGTTGTCACAGTTCTTATACTGTACATTGTACATGATTCCTGTTTTTCTTTTTGAGTTACTGGATCTTTTGGTTTATTTAAGATGCTTTGGAAGGCTTTAGTTAGTTTGTGTGCTATGGTTGTGTCGGTCATGAACATTAACTAGCAATCAGAGGATGCCATAAAAGCTCCTTCTCTCACGATATTTTGAAAGACTCAACTACAGTTTCAACAGGAAATCTGTGAGCCTTCTAGATCAAGCTAAACCCAAAAATGCTAAGGAATTCCTGAAAACTTGCCACTTGGAGAAATCAGCTATCAATAAATACATAGAACTAAATATTTAAACTCTGTTTGACAGAAACAATAAAAACTAAAAAGGAAAGAAAAAGACCAGAATACATTTTCTCCAGCAGCCAATACCCAGATGAGCAGAGATTAACACCAGAAGACTCAAACAGAAAAAAAAGTGTTCAAATCAATGAACAACCAAGGAGGAAAACACCAAAACTGCCACCAAAACTGGCAGAGTAAATTACAGTTATTACCAGGCAGCATATCCCACACTCATTTGCACTGACGATGTTACCTAGTTGGGTAATGAAATATCTGCAAGAAAACAACCAAACTCAAGATAGCACCAAGAACCCCACAGATTTACCTTGAGCTACAAATATTCTCTTCTATTGACATTATGAACTATAAAACAAAAATTAATTAATATAGTTGAAATAAAACAAACCCTTAAAAT